TGACAGATCTGTCAGGCTGTACAATAATAACTATATATTTGACATTTTGTGCAAAGATACTGCTTAGATAATACTTACAAGCATTAATTTTTAAATCAAAATAAAATACAAAATATACAAAATGAGAATTTAAGATGGTTTGAGCAAATAGCTCAAACATCTGAAAAGATTTTTTATGTAAAATGGTAACTAACACATTTCCACAATTTAGCTCCTTGTGCATTTTAAAGCTAACTTTAAATGGAGTTTGTTTAAAAATGTTTTTTAGATCTGGGACTGAATCTGATTGGATCAAATATTAAGCAGGTTCTTATTCAGTGGATTTTTTTTTTGTTTCAGGTTTTATGGCCTTCAGTGTGAGGCGTCAGCCAGTGGAGGGCACAGCTAACCTGCTGATAAACACACACTTCCTGTACATGCGTGTAACATCACACAGACACACACACATATGTAAAGTCAGTCAAAGCATAATTCAGTCTGCAGTATTTAGTTTTTTATTCAGGAGTGACTTCATCCTTTTATCAGAGCGTGTGTCCATTGATCTTGTCCTGCTGTCCTCTCCTCTCTGAACTCTTAAAAACGCTTTACTGGATCACGTTTCGTTTGTAATTAACTTCATGCTTTAAACAGACTCGTATTGTTCAATTGAAAGATGAGACTTTGTGCATCTGTTTCCAAACACATGAAAAAAAAAACACACKGTCTTCAAAGGCCTGCAAAGTTTAGATTTATTTATTTAACAATCAGTGACGCATTTTTTAAATGTTATATTTTATTACACTAATAGTAAAAAATAACATTCATGAATAATTAAAAAAACAACACAATATTTTTTAACTTACCATTAACATTGAGAATGACTCAAACTGAAAGGAGTGAGCAACGTTTTGTCGTACATGAAGTCCTTTTAAAAAAATACTTATTTTTAACAATTAATATCTTACCTGCTGAAGATGGCTCTTTAAACAACTTGCAGTTTGGAGAATTCGTTAAACTTTGATAAGTTTGATGAGCTAACAGCTTTTTCAAGTAGGACCAACGCCTAAATGAATTATTTCCATCATTTAACAACTTCAATTTGTGCAAAAACACTATTTCTTCAACCCCTTCAGTTTCTATTTCATTTATTCCAGCAGACTTAGACAGGAAGTGAAGAAGCTATTTGAAGTTGAAACTAAACATATAACTAAATGTGACTGTTTATAAAATAATATTTGCTCGAGCTGCCATAAAATGTCTGATAAGAAATGTGTTTTCAATCAAATGAACCGATCGAAAAGTGAACAGGTGCTCCGGATGTTTGGAGAAATGTTGCTGTGTCGTTTCAAAAGTGTTTACCTTTTTTATTTTATTATATTTAACCAGTTTAAGATCTCTTTTTCAAGGGAACCGTGGCCAAGAAGGTTGGAATAAAATTAAGAGCCATCTACTACAGGTAAGATGTTAACTGGTCTCACTGTTTCCACAGAACCACACTGAACTGTTGCTGTCCTGCAGCTGCAGCACAGATTCTCTTCTGAGTGCTTAAAAATGTCTCTAACAGCTTTTAAAGCATCTCCAGACGTCTGCGACTCTGATTTTCATTTCTCATCTTTACTGTCTTGTATCAAACACTTTGTGCAGAAAACCAGATCTAATTATTTTATTTAACATCTAACAAACTGTTTCAGTCAAAACTAGCCTGTCAAAAAAGGAAACAATAAAACTGAAAAAAAAAATACACATTTTTAAAGCTTAACTGTGTGCTGTTGTGGGTAAAAGCAGTAAAAGTGAAGCTTGGGGCTTCATGGCTGCTGGGTGTGAGAGAACACCTGTCTGAGGAAAACTAATCTCACCAACAGATCAGGTCTCCAGCATCAACTTCCCTCTAATAAACTGAAACTCAGGACGGTCTAATCTGTCCACTTTCTCAGAATTTCAAAGTCGTGAAGACACGAAGTCTGTTTTAGACTAACTCATTCACCTTCAAAATAAAATAACTACAGACTCATATCTGTGAGAGGGGGTTTGAACTCATAAAAACTGTAAAAACATAAAGCAAAACCCACAATTTAAACTGATTTCATCGTAGACGATTCAACGGTTTTATGAAGTTGTCAATCATTCAGATTTAACAGAAACAAACAGGTGAAGTAAGGCTTTTACTTTCTCATAACTGTAAACGATGAAAAAAAAAAAAAAAAACTAAAA